TTCCCTGTTTGTTCAGTGTGCAGCAGTCTGAACTGTTCAGCAAGATTCCCCTTCACTCCTTGCTGGGTTCCATCTTTGCCTCTTTTGCTGAAACCAAAATGTTCCCTAAAAGTCTACTTTTTTGGAGTAGGTCTACTCCAAGGTGGCCAAATTTGGTTAGGAATGTCATTCATAGAACATAACCTCTTCCGGTAGCACCTCCAAGAGGCACTTTTCACTTCTTCTGAGTCCCAGACTTCTATTTCCAGCCATCTCATTCACATTTTCCCATGTAACCTTTCATCTAGAATCAGACCCTTCTCTGGGCTAACTTGCTTTGGTTACTAGCACAGTATTCATTCAATGAGCTGGGCTTAGAATTACTCAGAGTCAAGGACACTTGATCATTACCCCCAATTCCTTCACTGTGAGTGGGGAACCAAAGAGAACAGTGATGCTGCCAGTTGTTTGTGGCCTTATTGACAAAACCTGACTTTGAGGACAGTCCCAACAGAACTGCCACAGGCTTAGGAATGTGGCTTCCTCTCCCTCCTTCCGCCCCTGTTGAGTGTTGGCATTGATGATGATACCCTTGCTCACCTTATTCATTCTACATTCACTGCCAAGTATTCACTGAGGCACCCCACGCCCCAGGCATGGCTTTAGGCATTGGGAGAAGAATGGCTAATGAGTCGGACCGGGCCCACAGGGCTCTGGAGCTTGCATGCTGGAAGGGAAATGCTCATGAGGATCGTGAAGCCAGAAAATCTCTTCGTGTGTGCTACAAGGAGCACAAGCAGGGCCACGTCCAGGGATGAGGGGATAACCACAGAGAAGGTGGTGAGAAGAGAGCACTGTGGGGAGTGATGGTGGAGCTAAGATCAAAATGTGATGGGAGCCAGTTCCTGGGAGAGGAAACACCCAGTACAAAGGGTGTGGGATGTTCGACAAAGTGGGATGTACAAAGCTGAAAGGAGGTCTGGGGCAGAGGGAAGGGGCCCTGGGCAGTCATAGGAAGGAGTCCGAACTTTATTCCACAGAGGTGCCAAGCTTCTTTCGTGAAGAAACGGACTTCTTAAACACAAGGATCAGAACAGATAATGAAAGGTGACTTGTGATTATTTGACTTTATTTACATAGGTTTTTTTTTTTAACCTACATAGGTCTTTTAGGTTTTATCCAAAGAAAAAAATCGAATCTGTATATATCTGTATAATATCTAATGGTAAAGAAATAATGGCAATAAAAAACCCCATTGAAGGAAAGAATTTAGTCAGTAAAATCTTTTCTAGAAAGATGTTAGAAGTCATTATTATTATTCTTCCAAGAATTCTTATACACATACACACACACACACACACACACACACATATCCCTATGAACTCTCTCATAAGACAGTATTTTATGAAGTTATAAAAAAAATCAATATTGCCTGTCAAGTACTATCTCTTGCATGTGTAACCAAAACTGTAAGGTTACGTGACCAAGAAATCAAGAAATCCCTGGTGTCTATTACAGAAAGCTTTTAATAGAACTTGCCTTGACAATTTACTCCTAAATCTTCCTTTCCCCCCCCAGCTCAATACCGTATTGCTGCTTAATTTCATGACGGCACAGAGCTGTTTTTTAGGCACTACTTGGGGAATAAGTATTAAAAGTTCAAGCAAATGCAAATGATGTTTTTGGCACTTTTTCTCAAAAGATTTCAATGAGAATACAGACTATAATGTTCAGCTGTATTATGTGTATATAGGTCCTACAGTTGTATGTAACTTGGTATCCTTTGTAGCATGTAAGGGAAATGGTCCTAGTGTTATTATTTGGGCTTAAAACTAGGGTTTGCCTTGCAAGTCTCTATCAGGGATTGATAACCTTGTAATGCTGGAAACCACAAGATATTATGAAACATTGTTTGCTCAGTTCCAATACGTTTACTACCCCTATTCTCCAACCTCAGGGGAAACATGACTGAATTCTAGAGATAAACTTACTTATTGTTAGACGTGAACGCAGTTAGGAATCTCCCCACCTCTGTCTGAAAACCTACTTGAGTCTTGACAACTCAATTTTAGGTCTCCTTAAATAAACTTCCTTTTAGCAGCCCCCCTATTTCCACCCCTAATTAAAATGATGAACTGGAGGGGCACCTGGGTGGCTCAGTGGGTTAAAGCCTCTGCCTTCGGCTCAGGTCATGATCCCAGGGTCCTGGGATCGAGTCCCGCATCGGGCTCTCTGCTCAGCAGGGAGACTGCTTCCCCCTCTCTCTCTGCCTGCCTCTCTGCCTACTTGTGATCTCTGTCAAATAAATAAATAAAATCTTTAAATAAAATAAAATAATGAACTGGAAGGGGAGCGCTGGGTGGCACTACTTGCCTTGAGAGAGATGCGGGGGTCCTACTCCCGGGGATGGGAACTGTAAACAAGGAGCAGCATCACGGGTCAAAGTGTTTACAGACGTGGGCAGAGCCGGGTCCTGTGGTCCATTACCGGTTCACCTCAGTCTTCCAGTCTCTGCTGCGGAATATTTTCTGCCTCCAACCATCTGGATGGGCTTTGCCACCCTGGAATGGGTGCGTCTGGGCTTTGCAATCCCAGGGATCGAGTCCCAGGGCTCCCAGCTCACACCGGGTTGCCGGCCAGTCAGGTTGGTCAATGGTGCAGAATACTGTAATACTGCCACAGGCTGAGCTGGTCCAAACCTCTCATCCATGAAAAAGGTTTTCTAGGAAAGAGATGATCGTATTAAGGAGCATGGGCTGGACGTCTGGACTGCCGGCATCTTGAGGCTGGACTGCCTCGCTTCCCCACTGACGAGGGGTGTGATCTCAGCCAAGGAGCCCCGCCTCTCTGAGCCAAAGTACTTAAAAAAGTACTTAGCTTGTAATAAACATTCAACACCACAGTGCTTAGGATCATGGAGGATTTTATTGATTTCTACAGCATAAGGCACTTATTATTTAATGTGCTTTTTTTTTTTTAAAGAAAAAGCAATCATAAGTGAATGCCTTGGTAAATAGCTATTATCAGAACAATACACGCTCATCTCCAAAATCATTTTTTTTTTGAAGATTTTATTTATTTACTTGACAGAGATCACAAGTAGGCAGAGAGGCAGACAGAGAGAGAGGTGGAAGCAGGCTCCCTGCAGAGCAGAAAGCCCGATGTGGGGCTCGATCCCAGGACACTGGGATCATGACCTGAGCCGAAGGCAGAGGCTTTAACCCACTGAGCCACCCAGGTGCCCCTCCAAAATCATTTCTTTCTGAACCAACCGACATCAGGAAATACCACTGGTTACTTTAAAAATGGTGAGAATTTCGTATGGTCCCCTGTTCTTCGCGTATCTTTGCCGTGTTTTGAATCACTTCTTTTACGTATCAGGTTTGTAGGGAAGGGGACTTAGAAGTTTCATTTCCATTACTCTGAATTCTCTCCACTCTGCTCCCTGCAACTCAAGTGCCCCAGTCTGCTGAGCCCCTTGTGCACATCACTCAATGCAGAGGGCCCCATTGGTCCTTTGGGATTCCTCCTCCCTGTGCCCCCAGCAGCCCCACACCTGCACAGACGACTCTGGCGTCTGACTCTGAAAGTCAGCACAAGCCAGGCCCCAGACGTGTGGCTTATTACCTTGTACTGAACTCCTGTTCCTGACCTCTTCGATCCACACCTGTTGTCAAGAAAAATGAATGGGAAACCAGACTGCGGCAAAATACTAAAACAGGGGCGTTCTAATTTTGAAATTTTAAAAAAATTTTCCTGTGCCAAACACAATGAGCTCGGGCGCATCACTGACCTGTCGCATAATTAACTTCCTGTCTTTTGTTCCTTATGAATTTACATATCCAATTATCCTTCTATTTCATGTCTCACGGTTTTGCTACATCGACTAAAACTTCTTAACAAGGAAGTCTTCTGATTTAATGGACTTTGAAAGTTCGTTTGTAGCTGGTTGTTTGGGTCTGACGGCGCTGTCACGGCCTGGTGCTGAGATGTTCCTGGCAGGAGGGAGTGTTTGAGGGTCCCCGCCCGGTGGGGTAACAGGGGCACTCACACGGCTGTCTGCAGACGCAGAGAAGTGGCGGCAAGGGAGCTCCCGTAACAACGGTGCTGACTTTAAACCACCCCTGCTCCTTTGTCAAGGGGCACTGTACCCCCTCGTTCGTATCATCAAAGTCGGTGCTAATTTAGGTCACGGGGCTGAACGCACCATTTCTGCCCCCACCAGGGTTTCTGCTCTGTTTCTATTCAGAACTCCGCCTTGATGCCCCCTTTTCTGTCCGAGGGGACATGGCGAAGAGGCCTGTAAGTGGAGGGCCATTTCCACTGCACAAGAATGCCCACCTGTGGACCTCCTGCGCTGCTGGACGTGACCGTGAACAAACTCAGATGGACTGAGAGACGGCTCTTGGGGGGCTTCAGTTCTCGTCTCTGGGAGGAGGCTTTTAGAGACGGCCAATGTGTGGGCCAAGGAGGCTCTTCTCGTCTCCCGGAAGGCAGATTCAACTCGGACTAGCATCGACAGCATCGTGACAACAGCAGGAGGGTCAAAATTTAATAGCAAGTGTTGTCTACTCAGCTCCTTGTACAAAGAAACCCACGCGGCTCTGCTAACGGGACACAGTGATCTGTTTCATCAGGAAGGAAAGGCGATGACCTTTGTTTTTGTTTGGCATTCTGGGAGTCGTGGACACAAACTAAGACAATCAGACGTGGTTTGTTCACGGAATTATCAAACACCACACCTGGATATCAAGGTGGGATGGAGGGCGACAGGTAGATTTTTACCACACTTCCCAGTAGCGACTGGGAAGCAATCGACTTCCCAAGCGGAGCTGAGAAACACATCATTAGGAGGATTGACTCAAACACCAGGGCAGCGAGGCTCTGACACCATTTATTCCTTTGTTTTCAGGCTTCCCCCACTCCCCGCTTTTTAAAAGGGAGGGCAGCTCTATTTTGAATATAACTTAGGGTAGGATGATAGGACTCAGCTCTCTGAATGATGCAAAAGGACACAGATCTGCCTAGAATACTTTTATATTTCAACAGGGGGCTGTGCGCAGCCGCAATTCCTGGCAAAGTAAGAAACCAGTGGAAGTGAACCGTGAACAGACCGTCAGCAGCAGTCACTTTTCCTCCATCAGGCCCATGAGATCGGCTTCTACCCCCTGCTCACTCAGCTCATCCAAACTGTAGTATCGGTGAATGATCTTCTCTGCGGTGACCACCACGACTCGGAGCCCGTGGGTGTCTTGGCCCAGCTGGCATCCGATGGCCGATGACACCACCATGTCGAGGTTCTGGTAGGTGCCTCCGGCATTCCGGTGGTAGTGGCCTGAGAACACAGCTGTGACACCTGTGGGGGAGGGAACAAGACATTAGGGGGCCAAAGATTTCCATTTTGGGAATTTGCGGGCTCCGCGAGGGCCTTCCTTCTGAGATCAATATGGTATGTTGTGCAATCGAATGCATTAATATCACTCAGTGCATAATAAGCGAGGAGACTCCATATGTGATGTCCAGAATCCTCTCAGGGATACTTCATCGATACAACATCCTAACACATTTGTCGTAAGTGGTGCAAGGAAGGGCTAGGGAACGAGAAGAGAGAAGATAAAGGGACTGACTTCAGGAGAGATACAGGAGGCGGAAGGAAATATTCTGAGGCCTGCGTAAACAGCCATCTGATGGGAGTTAAATGTCTACAAAGAACGACGTTCATGGAGCTCTAATCAAGACAGCACAGCAAGCTCTGCACTTAACGTAACTCCTCCACTCCACACTCGAGAGCCGTGATGGCTAAAATCTACACGAGAAAACCGAAGGACAGAAGTCGCCTCGGAATCAAAACCAACAGCTCCATGCATGAGAAACAAGGCAGAAAGGCAGGGTAATGAGCGGGGTCACGGTGCTGCTGGGAGCGAAGCTCCTGGAGGGTGAGAGAGGCTGCAAGGAGTTTCTGTGACAGAAGGAAATAAAGGCCGGCCCCTACTGAAAGAGGGCAGGCATGGGAACCTGTGTTTGTGGAAAGGGAATGCAGGAGACCCTGGCCGCCGGCTGCCTGGGGCTAGGGCTGCGGTAGGCGGGGGTTTCTTACAAGTCCTCCAGAAAATAAGCGAGAACCAATTTATAATGTTTGCTCATCTCCCATGATTAGCCCTCTGAGGGCGGCTCATTTTAAACTGCTGACGTGATGTCACTGCCCCGACGAGGGAGGGGATGGCTGGTAGCATGCTGTTCTATGGTGCTTCTGCTACACAGACACAGAGGCTGCGAGCTGCCTAGCCAGCAGGGTAATGGCAACACGTAGCAAGAAAATTAGAAAATAATCAGTTTTCAGTATTTATTACTGTTGCTTTTTAATATAATTTATTTAATGGTGATTTTGTAGAATTTAATGCTTACTACGGTTGTTTCACAAGGAGCTCACAACATTCCTTAAAATTTAGTAACTGGTTTTCGTGAACCGGGCAGGAACTGTCTCCAGCAGAGCACTGGGCGAGGGCTGGTAGCGATCTGTGGGTCTAGGAATGAAGGACAGACACAGGCTCAAGTCTAGGAAATGAGACATGTTTTCTCAGTGTTACTGTGGGCAAGGGCCCTCAAGCTCTACTCTAAGACCTGGCCCCGGGGAGGGGTTGGGGTGAAGGAGACCCAAACCACTAGACAAAGAGAAGTTATTCAAGACAGAAAGTGAAGGAAAAACCAAAGCTGAAATCACCTCTTACTCAACTGAATCTGAAATAATAATAATAATAATAATAATAATAAAATACCAACACCTTGTGAAGAAATCTCATACTAAGACAGTCTACAGACTCCTCAATCAGGAATATGAATTCACTCCAGGTGAAATGAATATGAAATTGCCTGTAAAGTATTTAAAATTACTATGTTTAGGGCATCAGGAAGTCCTTAATAAAAGACTGATATCTATAAAAAAAAAAAAGAACCAGGTGTTATGAAATAAAACAGGCACAACTGCAATGAGAATAACTAGTAATGAAAGCTGAGAAACAGTGGCCATTAAAGACAGCCATTAAAACAGAACACAAAGACAACTCTCAATAAATGGGATAAATTCTAAACTGGACACTAATCAGAGAGGAAATCAGTGAATTAAAAGACAGAATGGAGGCAATGAACCAACCAAAAGACAACATGGAGACTCAGACACAAGCAATAAGAACATGTGGTTCAAAGAACCCAAAGAATGGATAAAGACGTATCAATGGATGCTTCAGAGGAGGTACAACAGGAGAAAGGAGGATAATAATAGGAGTAACTTGAAGAAACAACTCCTGGGGATTTTCCAAAATGAAGGAATATATGGGCCTTCAGATACAAAGTACTAGGTAGGATAAATAATAATCAATTTGTACTGATATATATATAATATATATATTATATATATATCATGGTGATATTGTGGAGCATCCAACAACAACAACAACAAAAACCCTAAAAAGATATGGCAAAAATACTATAAAGGAATGACAATTAGACAGCAGGCCCCCCAGCAATAACAGAATGAAAGAATAATGTTTTCCAGTGCTGAGGGCAAGCGACTGTGAACCTCCAATTTTATACCCAGCTAAATCATCATTCAAGTTAAAGGGCAAAAGAAATATATTCTGGGGCATATGAAGACGAAGAGTTTACCACTTCCAAACCTTCACTGAAAGAATGATTACAAGATACGGTTCAGCAAGGAGAGGATGAACTATTAAAAAACAGTGATGTGCTAACACTGATAAAAATATTTTGGTAAATTTAATTACTGATTATCTTTGAAAACCTCTACTTTTTAAATGTAAAACTAGAGCTCAAGAACGTCAAGATGGGAAGTTCAATGGATAATTAAATCACATAAAAGCTACTGTCACGTTTGGAAGGGAGATGAAAATAATGAAAATAATTATATTTTGCTAGAAAAAAATGCATAATTAACATGCTTCTTAAAAATGTTCGGGCACAAGCAACCAAATTAAAAAGAGGCAAACTGTACTTCATCAAAATTTTAAACTTTTGTGCATTAAAGAACACCATCAACAATATGAAAAGATAACCCATGGAATGGGAGAGAATATCTGCAAATCATCTATCTGATAAAGGTTGAACATCCAGAAAATATGAAGAGATGAATATGAAAAATATGAAAAAATGTTCAATGTCACTAATCATCAGTCCAATGAAAATCAAAACCATAATGAGATTTCACTTCATCTCCACTAAGATGGTTATCATCAAAAAGATGGAAAATAACAAACATTCACAGGGATTTGGAGACTTAGAACCCGTGTGGAGGGCTAGTGGAAATGTAAAATGGGGCAGCCATTCTGGAAAATACTTTGGTGTTTCCTTAAAGTGCTAAACATACAGCGACCCGGCAGTTCCACGACGAGGCATCTACTCAGGAGAAGGAAAACACACGGCCACGTACAAACCTGTGTGTGGCTGTTCACAACAGCATTATTCATAGCAGCCAAAAGAGCAGAAACAACCTAAAATGTCCATCTGAACTGATGAATGAACAAAATGGGGCACATCCTTATGATGGAAGCTGATGCAGCTGTCAAAAGGACTGAAGAGCACTGACAATGTGCTCCAACGTGGAATGACCTCGAAAACCTCACGCTCAGTGAGAGAAGTCGGATGCAAAGGGCCTCACACTGTAGGATTCCATTTATAGGAACTGTCTGGAGTAGGCAAATCCAGAGATGGAAAGATTATTGCTTGTCAGGGACTGAGGGAGGTAGGGAACAAGGGGTGGCTTGCTAAGAAGGAAGCAGTAGTGGCTGCTAATGGGTATATTAAAACCACTGAATTTTATACTCAGCCACAGCAACTTCTTTCAAGATATGTCTCCAAAGGCAAAGGAAACAAAAGTGAAAATGAACTTTTGGGACTTCATCAAGATAAAAGCTTCTGCACAGCAAAGGAAATAGTCAACAAAACAAAGAGACAACCCACGGAATGGGAGAAGATATTTGCAAATGAGAGTATAGACAAGGGGCGCCTGGGTGGCTCAGTGGGTTAAAGCCTCTGCCTTCGGCTGAGGTCATGGTCCCAGTGTCCTGGGATCGAGCCCCACATCGGGCTCTCTGCTCAGCAGGGAACCTGCCTCCTCCTCTCTCTCTCTGCCTGCCTCTCTGGCTACTTGTGATCTCTATCTGTCAAATAAATAAATAAAATCTTAAAAAAAAAAGAAGAGAGTATAGACAAAAGGCTGATATCCAGGATCTATAAAGAACTTCTCAAACTCAACACACACAAAACAGATAATCATGTCAAAAAATGGGCAGAAGACATGAACAGACACTTCTCCAATGAAGACATACAAATGGCTATTAGACACATGAAAAAATGTTCATCATCACTAGCCATCAGGGAGATTCAAATTAAAACCACATTGAGATACCACCTTACACCACTTAGAATGGCCAAAATTAGCAAGACAGGAAACAACGCGTGTTGGAGGGGATGTGGAGAAAGGGAACCCTCTTACACTGTTGGTGGGAATGCAAGTTGGTGCAGCCACTCTGGAGAACAGTGTGGAGATGCCTTAAGAAATTAAAAATAGAGCTTCCCTATGACCCTGCAATTGCACTACTGAGTATTTACCCCAAAGATACAGAAGTAGTGAAAAGAAGGGCCATCTGTACCCCAATGTTTATGGCAGCAATGGCCACGGTCGCCAAACTGTGGAAAGAACCAAGATGCCCTTCAACGGACGAATGGATAAGGAAGGTGTGGTCCATATACACTATGGAGTATGATGCCTCCATCAGAAAGGATGAATACCCAACTTTTGTATCAACATGGATGGGACTGGAGGAGATTATGCTGAGTGAAATAAGTCAAGCAGAGAGAGTCAATTTTCATATGGTTTCACTTATTTGTGGAGCATAAGAAATAACATGGAGGACATAGGGAGATGGAGAGGAGAAGGGAGTTGAGGGAAAATGGAAGGGAAGATGAACCATGAGAGACTATGGACTCTGAAAAACAATCTGAGGGTTTTGAAGGGGCGGGGGGTGGGAGGTTGGGGGAGCCAGGTGGTGGGTATTATGGAGGGCACATATGGCATGGAGCACTGGGTGTGGTGCATAAACAATGAATTCTGTTATGCTGAAAAGAAATTAATAAAAAAAAAAAGGAAAACAGAAGTAGTGGAAAAATATAGTGAATACCCAAAAGGTATAGAAAAGTTGTTCAATAAATAATCAATTTGAAAAAAAAATGCGAATTTTATGGTATAGCTCAATAAAAAAAAACAAAACAAAAAACAAAAAACGGGAAGGGGAGGGGGCCAGAATAACCTATGTGGTAGAGATCAGAGGTGGAGACATCAGC